CCTCCTCCCCCTCCTTCTTCTCCTCCTTCTCCTTTCTCCTCTCCTCTTCCTTCTCCTCTTCTTTATTTTTCTCCTCCTCCTCATTCTCTTTCTCCCTTTCTCCTCCTTCTCCTCCTTCTCCTCCTCCTCTTCTCCTCTTCCTCTTTGTCCTCCTCCTCCTCCTTCTTTTCCTCCTTCTCCTCCTCCTCTCCTCCTCCTCCTCCAATTTCTCCTCCCACTCCTCAAACTCCAGACATCAGTGGAAGCAATCCATCCCCCCACTATGTAAAAGAATAGAAAACACTAGATCTGCCCAATTTACCCACTTAGGTGTGGTTGCTCCATGTATTGTAGACCTCACTCCCATAAATGACTGCCACCAGCCAAACCACAATGCATCTTCTAAATTGGAGGAGGAGAAAGTTCCCACATTTTTCACCCTCTCTGCTTCATCAAGCAATTCCATCTACCTGGAGAGAATTCTCTTTGAGTTCCTTCTTTTTCTTCTTTGATAGATGTTAAAGATCCATTTCAATGAGAGCTTCTGAATTGGAACAGAGCTTTAAGCATGGGGAAAATATATAATAAAAGAATAAATGCTCATAAATATTCCTGTTACCCCCAGAAAGAGAGTTCAGCCAAGGTGTTAAATAGCTGTAACCTGGCTGATTCCGCCCAAAGTGCATCTCAAATGTTCCCGGGGCTTAACTCGATTATTTATCAGCCCAGAGATGCATCGAAGAAGAAAATTAAGCAGAGAGTTTCTTGGTAAGATAATGAAAGTTATGGAGGTGAAATGCAGACTAGCCAACTGGAGAACTGGAGAAATAATTTTGTGCACGTAACAGGCTCTGCTGCTAAAGTTCCTGCTTGCTGTGAGATGATGTGGGCGTTGGGTGTCGCGTGTGTTGTAATGGAAAATGAGAAGGTATATTGGGTAAAATTACAGGCAAGATTTGGTGGATCGCCACGGCTAAATGCAAGTGGGATTTGGCTAATCTGAAATAAACAGATTGCCTTGGAAGGCTCAAACCCCCCACCCGCCCAAGACGTGGCAAAGAATTAAATCCATTTAAGGTCATGAGATGGAAATTGTTTTAGGATGTCTCCCTCGGTGAGTGGGTGTCCTCATTTCAATGCTTGGCTGGAAGTTTAACAGCGATAGATTGGCTATAATAAGATAAGTTCAGAATTCTAAAACCGACCGTTGAGAGATTAGAAACAGATGCATTACGATCTTATTTCACTCACACAAAGTTGTAGCTCAGCTTAAAGCAGAATCCGCCTCCAATGTCTCGATTTTATACTTGTGTAGAGCAGGGAGAATAACGGACAGTAAAAGGAGGCAATGAAAATGCTTCTGGTGCTATTATTATTCATAAGGTAATCTGCTTCCAAAAATTCTTGGTAAAATAACCTGGTCCAGATAAAGTCCCCCTCCCCTTAATCTTTAGTTCCCTTTCTTATCTATCTATCTATCTATCTATCTATCTATCTATCTATCTATCTAT